AGTTCAAAAATCCTGTGAAAGGTAAATCATGTAAAAGATAAAGTTCCAAAGATCTCCGAACCATGTCCCGCATCAGTCATTTGACCTGCTCGTGATTCACTGCGTGGAACACCGTGGTGTAAAGTGTCGGACGAGGGGGGGGGGAGCAAAGCGGGGGTGAAAAAAATGCTGCTGTGCGGCTCATGCTCTCGTCATTTCACGGATACTATGCGAAACTCTTAGTAAATATCGGCACAACTGCTCTCGTCGCCGTTGCAGTAAAAATAACTGCAGTGGAGAACTTGCACGATAGGTGTGTGGAACACTTAGCGCTGATAGTAAGGTGGGGGGGGGGAGGGGAAGGAGAGAAGGGATCAGACACTCACAACTGTTTGACGACGCACTTATGGATAAAGTGACAACGGCAAACGCATCGCATTTCATGCGCTCGAGAAAGAGCAGAGATTAAAAAACTCCACGCAAAAAATTGATGAGAGCTGGAAAAGGCAATTTTGAGCCTCAGAAAAAAATTCCGTTGGAGTGATAGCAACTTCCTCAACTCTATGAACGATTCCTCATGGCAGAATTCACTAGAAACTGTTATGTTTTGCAAATTTTTGCATCCTACCGTATGCCTACCGTACCACGACAGATTCCAGTAGAGTGGATAATATAGGGATTCGTCTCTTCAGCGTTTCAATGTAAGTAATGGGTGATGTAACAAAATTGCGCATTTTACCTCAAAGCCAGTGTTTTGCTGAAATTGTTTCAGTAAGGAAATAAGTAGTTGTATAAGTTATTGGAAAAAATTGATTTTAAAAAAAACTTAATTTTATCCTTGGAAATTATGGAATTAAACGAAATATTCGCAAATAAAATTGAACAAGACTGGGCACGTAAACAATAGCTATGTTATTTGTTACTATGTGACACTACCGTATGCCCACCGTACCTGCACAGCCATTCATAGAGTTAGATGTCTGGTTGGACCACTCTCGTTTTTGGAATAAGTGTTATTGAAACAGAAAATATCACTTTTGAAAGACTGAGAAAAGGCTGTAAAGATGGTTCTTTACGCCGGGATCGTGTAAATTCCGAATTTTTGGGTTCGACAAAGGCCATGCAAAGTGAGATGTTCGAAATTCCATTTTGAGGCTGATAAAACAATAAAAATTTGCGAACAAATAATTTTTTATTGCTTTCAGATATGAATAGGTCTCATAAAAGTGAAAAGAATATAACATAAAATTCGTTCAATATTGAGTTTGTCCCCCTGCAGGAAAATTACAAAGCCGGTACCTCGGCACAAAATGTGGTCAGTGCAACGCAATTTCCGCCACTCAATGCGATTCGCGCCAACGCGCTTTGTGAGTTCTGGAAGAAAAGAATTGATTTCACTGACTGCAGCCGGTACTGCTTGGATTACACCAAACCCTTGACAAAAAACTGATTTTCAATGCTGCAGCCAGGCATTTGCATTCGATTGACACGAATTGACTTATTGCAGGTTTGAATTTGCGATTTGAAAATTTGCGATTTCAAAAAAATACCTAGACATCTCAAACCCAACTTGTTCAAAAATCGTTTGGTTCCATAGATTTATTGCCTTCAGACAATTATACCAGCACGAAAAATGAACATAACAGCAACTGTTGCTGGTGAAAATGACACAAGTAAAGAATTGATGAGTTGCTTGCAAGACTCAGTGACCACCGGAGGCCTGAAAAAAACTTAGAAAAACATAAATAATGGGAAAACTACGAAAACATAGCAACAATGAAACAAGTGCCGTTACGGCACTTCGAAAATCTGAAACCTTTGAGAGAGGTAAGGTTGAAATTAAGTGATTTCCATTCACATTCAGCAGTGTGAATACGTGAATCTTCTTTCAAGGAAAATTTATATAACACATGAAAAAAGTACAATTATATGAGATACACAATAATCAATGTAGAAATGTTAGCGATAGCCTAGTCATCGCCTCACTTACATTTCTATCATTTTCTTGTTTTTTTTTTCTTTTCAATGCGCTTTAATTGCTTCCAGTACTTATCATTTTAGCGCTCAGATTTATGTTAAGTGGGACTTTTACAAAGAAAAGTATTGCAGAAGAGATTTGAGCACCATGAGCTGGGACGAATGAGCATCCTGGCCCACAACGTGACATTCCTACTCAGAGGTGACTAGTGACAAAAAATATGCGGTGCGGTGGAATAGAGGGGGGACCACCTTTTTCTCGTCAATAAAATTACGATTTTTAGCTACTAATAAATTTAGAAAGTCTGTAAACAGCGGATATAGATAATCAGTCTATAAAGCACCTTTACATTTAGCAATAATCCCTATAAAGCAGATTTCTCATGCTTTTTGTGCTTGGTGTGATTGCCTCTGCCTATTCTTATCGTCTAATTTACTGCTATCAAAAGGGCATTTTCTTTTAAAAAAAATGATTTTGGAGCCTCATTGTAAGCAATTAATTTTTTCAGTTGAGTGCGGCAATGAAACAAAGATTAAACGTTGGAAACTATTCAAAAGCTTTGCCTGTTCATTTATTATCCTTCCGGGACCGTAGATCTCCGTTCATTAAACTATAGAAAGGTAATAAGATAGTAATACAACACATATTCAACTAGAAAGACTAGTTGTTTAGATATGACCGCAGATCTTTGGAATTTCCTTCGTATTTCTGTACTTCAATCAATTTGATTTGCGATTTAGTTATCAAAATTCTGAAAAACCAATGTCTTCAGCAAAAATATCATATTTTCTATTTGTATGTACCAGAAGTGCTTCTCTAAAAATCTCAGTACAAGGCTGAAGTGAGCACATGTTCAGTACAACTAAGGAAAACTAGAAATTCAAGGACCACTTTTCCTCCCTCTTGCTAGGAAACGTCAGAAATGACAGAACTAGATTTTTTTGCGAACGTTGCACTCTTTCTACGACTTTCACTAGCAGATTTCGTAATCATTGGAGTATTTAGATAATTCCTCTTAAGCTCATTACACAAGTAAATCGTGATTAGTGTCGTGCATTGTGTTATTTACATTTGCTCCAGATGATCTGGCGCATAAATTCTTGCGCAAACTCGGCCGCTCCGAACTGGTCGCTGGTTGCATGCCAATGGGGTTTTTGTTGAAGATTTGATTCACAAATGCTAAATTGACTCAGAGGGAATCTGGAATCCAAAAGTCATAGTTCTAGAGCTTTTGGAGTTGACTAAATTCACTGTTGTCGCGAAAGAGGCGTGCGCGAGTCATTTGTAGCAAAAAATGTGAGCCTGCACATTATGCGCGAGATCTGACGACATTTTACTTGTTATTCATCAGTAAAACCTTTTCTAGCGGAACAAACTGTAGAAATGTATGCTACTACTTGATAGAGAATCAATCAAACCAAAAGATAGAAGAAAAAAATTATAAACCCCCTGAATTTGAAAGGTCTTGATATTACGTGCCGTGAAGTAGCGCGTGTGGTGTGCAATACGCATATTAAGTTGCGAATGGCGCAACAATGCAGTTTTGACGGAGAATGCCAAAGAATCTCTCAGTTGACTCACAATGCACTTGATTGTTCTTAGAAAACATGTGTCTACCATACATCCTCAACTGTAAAACAAAAGCGCCTCCTCCCCCCCCCCCCCCCCTCCCCTCCGTCTCCAAACCAATCTATTGTACCCATAGCCCCAAGAAAGCAATTCCTATCAAACCAAAACAAATAAATTTCTCCAGGAAAATAGGTTTCTCCAAAACCAAAAGAAATTTCAGCAATGTCGTCAACAAGCTCTTTTTTCCGCTAACTTTGTTTCCTCTCAATTTCAACGGAAACGGCCAGTTTCCGAAATGCTGTAAAATTTTACTTACTTCACAAACAGAGAAAAGTTATAACTTAACTGCTTGCTACATGTGTTCAATCACGCAAATCGCGCCAGATGGGAAAAACCAAAAATTACAGACTACAATTTCCGCTGGAAAACGCACGTTTCCATGGAGTTAACAATGGGAATTTTCTAGAAAATCGCAAGAAAGCTGCAAACTGGACGAAGTGAATTGGAAAAGTTAAAGAAGGAGAAAGACGGAGAAAGCAAATTAAGCAAGCAGAGCATAGCTATTTGGGTTTGAATTTTGATTTTCATAAATTTTGATTTCTGCAATATAGTCTTATAAACCCTAAAAATTTTTAGGCAGTTCGATAAAACGGTCGCTTATATATAAAACCGGTTCAAGAAGCTCATACTTACTTATTTTTTATTTCTAGTTTATTAATTTTGTAGCTGCTTCTATTTAACAAATATTGTCATGGATTCCTTGAACATCAGAAAATAGACTGGTTACAAATTATTCTTTTCATATTCCTTCTTGGCTTATTTACGTCGAACATTCAAGCAAGCTAAGCCCAAAACTGTCCCTATAAAAATGATAAAAAGGCAAATAGGAAAAATTGCTCTGAATAAACAATCAAGGTAAAAATCAACAAAAATACATGATAAATCAGTGAAACATAGGTTTATTTTAGCAAACTGGCACCGCTTTAGAAAAAAAAAATGATAAAAAATGCCTCTCATATTAGCATGTTCTTTCAAGGGCCATGTAAAGAATGATTTATAAAAAATTACATGCAACTTGATAATAAATCCGATGCTTTCACCAATTTTTTCAAGTTTGCTCGTCTTTTTTTGTGAGAATTGAAAATGCTGATACGATATACACTTTTGGCATTGTTCCAACTAGTAATTCCTAAAGTAGTTGGTACAAATAAGTGGTAAACACAAGCTACGTTGTTACTGTATTTATTCGGTTAGATTTGTTTGTAAAATTTTTTATTTATTCGTTATGCATACTCAACTTATCCATTAATATATGTTTATTCTTGAATTTCTGGATATATTCAACCTATAAACAGTACTCAATACTTACATTTACATAAATTCATGAGGATCATTTCTCTTTTCTTTTTTTACTCTTTCATCTTTTCCTACTCATTAATCTAGAATCATCAACTTCTCTTATCTCATCAAGACAGAACCCGTGGGAAGAGTCTCATGTGAGAAGAGGCGTTCCGACCGAGTTTGCTACCCCCCCCCCCCCGTCGAGGGGGAGGGTACGGTTGCGTCATGTGGTACGCGCCGCCGACGTCGTTGTCGGCGAGTCCACGCCTCCTCAAACCGGGGTCCACCCACAACACAAGCCCGTATCGCTTCGCATAACGCATCGACAATGGCAGACCAAGCGGCCGACACCTCTGCTCCCGTAGCTCCCTTAGATCCCGCTGCACCGGCTGAAGCTCTTGCTGAAGCTACCGCTACTATCGCCGAAGCTGCTGCTACTGAAGCGGCTCCCTCGAAACCCGACGCTGAATCCACTGAAACCGCCGAGGCTGCGCAAGCCGCCGAAAATGCTCCTGAAGCTGCTCCTGCTGACGCCGCAGCAGCTGAAGCTGCTCCCGCACCCGAACCCGCTTCCGCCGAAGCGCCATCTGCTGAGGCTAAGCCGGATGATTCTGCTGCTCCGGCAGAAGCTGCTATTCCTACTGATTTTGTAACTCCTTCTTCTGAAGCTTCTGCGCCGGCGGCGGAGTCTGCTGCCGAACCAGAAGCCCATAAGGAAGACGCCGCTGAAACAGAATCTGCTGCACCAGCTGCCGAATCTGGATCTGCCGCCGCTGAAGCTGCTCCAGCAGAACCTGAGAAAGAATCTGGTAAGTATCTTCTGAGTGATCCGGATTTTTCCCTTTGACTACCCTATTTGCCCCTGTTATTACTATAGAGTCCGAAGAGGAAGATGACGATACGATTGTTCTACGAAAGCCTCTAGGTCGTCCAAAAATTTCTTTTCGGGTCCGGACACCAGGCGAGATAATGAACGCGTGCCGTTTACTATATTTGAAGTGAATCCTAGAGTTATGAATGAGCTTAATCTATCTCTTGCGTCAAACCAACACAACACATATGAACGGTTGCTTGCTTCTATAGAAACCAACAACCCAGTGCGATATGCTGTGAAAACTTTCCTTCTGTTTTTTTCTGAGGATGCGCTTATAAAGCATCTCATACTTCTCCTGAGTTTTGCTGAGATTATGCTGAATATTGGAATTTAACTTGATTGTTTTTTAGAGCCTGCCGCCGCTCCAGCAGAAGCAGCGCCATCATCCGAAGCTGCTGCTGAACCGGAAGCTCACAAAGAGGAGGCTGCACCCGCTGAAGCTGCTCCACCAACAGACTTCGCGACACCTTCGGCTGAAGTTGTAGAAAACACGGAACCACGAAAAGTCGATGATGCTCCAGCAGATACTGCCGCATCAGCTCCAGAATCAGAAACTAAGAAGGAGGAGGAAGCACCTACGGAAGCTGCACCAGCAGAAGCTGCTGCGCCAGCTTCAGAAGAGGCTACGCCAAGAGAAACTGCTTCCGAACCAGAAACACACAAGGAAGAAGCTGCACCGACGGAAGCAGCTCCTCCAACCGATTTCGCGACTCCTTCAGCTGAGACATTAGACGAAACAGAGCCACGCAAGGTAGAAGACGCTGCCGCAGAAGCTGCTCCAGCAGCTGCAGCTGAAGAACCAGCAGCAGAAGCTGCTCCAGCAGCTGCAGCTGAAGAACCAGCAGCAGAAGCACCAAAAGAAGACGCGCCTGCCGCTGAGGCTGCTCCAGAGAAACCTGCGGAAGCTGCTCCGGCGAACGCTGCTATTCCCACTGATTTTGTAACTCCTTCTTCTGAAACTTCTGCACCGGCAACGGAAGCTTCTGCCGAACCCGAAGCCGAGAAAGTAGAAACTGCTCCAGCTGAAGCCGCTGCACCAGCGGCTGAAGGCGCTCCTGCAGGTGAGTCCGCGCCAACTGAAACTGCTGTTCCAACTGATTTCGTTACTCCATCAGGTGAGACTGCTCCAGCTGCTGAGGCTCCAGCTGCTGAAGAAGCAGCTCCCGCCGAAGCTGCAAAACAAGAATCGCAACCAGAAGCTGCTCCTGCAGCGGAAGCAGAAGCTGCTCCTGCAGCGGAAGCAGAAGCTGCAAAAGAAGAACCTTCTCCTATTGTGAACGCTCCAGTTGCGGAAGGACAGGCCGACCTTGTCGGAGAAGCTGAGGCTGCCGCTACCGCCACCGAAGGAGATTCCGCTCCTGTGGTCGACGCTGCGCTACAGCAAGCTGCACCAGCCGCAGCCAGTTAAACATATTTGATTGTTGATTGTATTACTGTACAAAGTGCCGGATAAAGTTTGGTATGAAAATAGGGGTTTATACTTTATTCAGAGCATGAGGACACAAACTGTGAAATTATGTACCCGTGCAATACGTATTTCACAATAATAAACCCAGTGATATATAGAATAAACATTGAAAAGTTGCAGGTCAAAAAACTCGGGTGTAAAGGTATTATACGGTATACGGTTACTGTAAACAACGATTGACATGTTCAAGAATCTAAAGCTACGATCAAAGATCAAAGGTCAAAATTATGTAATTGAAGAGATCTCTGTACATTGATGCTCTGCTTTTATAGATACTAAGGTCACAATGACGAGTTTCAAGAATCACGATGGCAGCATAAATATGCGTCCTTCAATAACATATGTTAGGTAATGAAAGAAAGGAACAATTTTATGGATAGTGCAAAGTAGCAGAGCTTGCTTGCGCTCTCTTAGTTCTCCATGGGAGAAGTCACAGAATCTTGACTCTACAGTAATCAAAAAATAGACGTATGGAAGAAAATCGATGAGCAAATTCAACAGATGGCTAAGTCAATTATTCCATCGATGTGTCAATTACTAGTAAGTTTTTCATAGCTACCGAATATTCTAGAAACAGAATTAAGTAGATCTTTCATGGATCGATTATCATCAATCGGATTCGGATCAGATTCGCGACGCATCATTTGTTCACGAACATGTGAGAGACGACGTGAGAAATCACTGGCCAATTCCATTTCGTTTCTTTCTTTCGTCTCGATCTGGAATTAAACAATTTACAGCTATAATAGAGTCTGTCCGGAGTAATTTGTGGGTTTGCACACCATGCGCGGCATTCCACGCCTCTTTGATCGTGTCTTCTGTCACTAAGATCGCTTCAATAACTCAAATTGTTGAAATTGTTTGTACACTTGTTCGCACCTATTTATGCTTGAAGAGGGATAAAAACAAAAGATCTCAATAGAAAGAGACAATCACAACTAGTCGTGAAATCCCCAGCATGTTGTGCAGTACAACTAATACGACTGTTAGAGTTTGACACTCTGCTTCTTTTTCTTTGGATTTCTGTAATTGCACAAATACTCTACCTGACAGGAACTTCTTCGTCCTTGCATCATGGTACTGAGACGACGTTTCACATTCAATGTGAGCTCGGAACTATGTCGTACACCATAAACCAAATGTGCTTTATGTCCATCGATTGGCATATCTTTCAGCTTTGTCCAAACCTATAAGACATTATATGAAACTCGCTTAGGTACCCATTCGAGATAATCTGTACTATTATTGTATTTATTGCTTTTTGGTGGACCCTTTGCACCCATAAACGGTTTCAATTTCACTAGAAGTGGCTGAAAATCAAGATTTTGACTCGAAAAGTTAAAAAACAGATTTTCATAACGTTCAGTTTCACTGGAAGTCGCTAAAATTCACGATTTTGACTCGAAAAGTTGAAAAATAGATTTTCATGACTTTCAATTTCATCGAAAGTCTAAAATTCAGGTTTTTTTACTTGAAAAGTTAAGTGCTTTTTTAAAATCTTTTTTGTCAAATTCTGACGACTCAAGCAAAGCTTAGGTTTGCCAAATTAGTTTCTTACAGATTCGCAAAACCCTCAAGATTCACGTGAAGATGGCAAGAATTGAATGATGCCAGCTTATTTGACTTAGGAAAATGTCCCAATTTGGGTTTTTGCTAGCAAAATTCAGATTTGTCAAAATTTAAGCTAACTATACGGAGTTGGTGCGCTAAAGATTTGCCCGTAGGTTACATATGATTTATAAAGATGACCAAATTTTGAACTGCCTCAAAAGGTTTCTCAAATTTTGGTAAGTGGCAGGACATATATTTTCAAATCCATTTGTCCGAATTTTTCAAATTTGATTCTGTCGTACACATATAATCACTGTCTCTAAAGAACATCAAGACGAGAAACTTTTAGGGAGGGGGTCAAGCAAAAAGATGATTTTGTCCTTGTAACGAGCATTTTTTCAAGCATCTTAAGGATGTTTCGAGTGGCCCAACATACCTGGTCAATACGTTTGTCCAAAGCGAGCTTGTTGTCCATTAGTCTTTCACGGTAATTCTGAAATATCAAGAAATAAATTAGGGGTCATTTGATTAGTAAATTGAATGGTGAAAGCCTTAGATTTAGAAAATTTACCCTCTGAAATATAGTGGTCCTTTCGGATAAAGATTCCTCTTCGCTCGGAGTAATTTCCAAAGCGTGTATGGAGCGATCTCTTTCCTCGATTAGCATTAGTAGATCTCTGTATAGCCTCTCAGCCGCATATTCCAGTAATCGACGCATACTATAAGAAATTGTATGAGGTATTGGCAGTTAAGTCTTTGAAATGTAAACATCAAAAATTCCGGGGATATTTGGAGATTACGGTTTGCTGCATGAGAGATTGCGAAAATTTGTTGATCTACATACGTCTGTTCTGTAAAAATTTATAGGCGAGGAAAGTCAAGCCATTTTTTTAAACATTAGCCTTTCTCTAAATCAGAAACCTCCCCGTATCAGTGAAAATAGTCACATGAATGAATGATGATCGGATGACCTCATACAAAATTATTTTTTCTGTTAAGCTCAACTTGAAGAAATTCCGCCCATTATATTTTTCATCTGAGGGCATGAACGAAACGTAGAGGCCAATTTGTAAACTTTCACAGTTATTGGAACTTCGAATGTTCAGTTATCTTCGCCTTCTGGGCAAAATTAGATAAAAAATGGCCGCTCTGTTATAAAAAGTGAAATACCTGCCAAATGAATGCTAGAAACTTTTCCTTCGCGAAAATAGAAGCATCTAGGCTCTTAAAAACGAAACCATGGATACCGCTGGCTTATTTTTGAACACGTGTGCTACTACTTTCCAATAACTCTCCCATAAGACAAAGCTCCCCACCACATCCAGCTTTGCATGGTAAGCTAGACGTAGGATCACTAAGTCTGTAAGCACACGTGGGTGCTTCTTACAGTTTTGCAAAAATCTAGCTGGCTGGACTGCACAAATTGTTTACAGACGGAAAAGAGAGCCTTTCAAGAGCGAGCAGAATTACAGTAGATTTTTCAACTACCCACTCAAGGGGCTTAGAGACCGGCCATACTATTTCAGGAGATGATTTCTGCGACTCTAGTCATTTCTAGGATTCCTCGACTTCCGATATGCCGCATTACGGAGCTCTTTGCGAATTTCAGTATACATTGCTTGTTTGTCTCTTTTCGCAAGATAGATTGTTACGAGACTCATAGCAATCACAGGAACCGCAGGAATTGCAGGAGTCACAAAAATAATATGGCCGGTCCCTTACTGAAATATGTGATTACCAAAAAATTTAGAATTTTTTTGCAATTCTTTAACCTGTCTTAGCGGTATAAAGTTTGTAACGATAAAACTTTGAACCATTTCTATCTGATCGTACCGCCCTAAGGGAAACAGTTAGTTGAGTAAATCTAATGTGAAATATCTAGGAACTTTGAGAACTATGGCTCATCAAGCAAATGTGCATAAGAATTGGATCTGCGTTGGATCCAGCAAATACCAGTTCGCTTGTAAGAATACGAGCTTTTTCACGAAGTTAATTTTTGGAAGGTAGTAGCGACTTTGCTCTAAAAAAACTCCTTATTCATTAAATTAAATTCACTTTCATCTCCAAAAATTTTCATAATGTGACCTGAAGGGTAAACCCAGGGTGCTAGAACCATTAGGTTGGCTGGAAAAATAATTTCCATTTTGATTTGATTCTGATTTGTAAATAGGAGCAGCTTAAGTTTTATATTTGAAAATCGCGCCAAATCGCTACTCTACATCAGCTGTTGAGATTTTCGCTCTGAATTGAAAAGAACAGATAGGTATGTATAAAAGGACATCCGATTTTTTTCCACCAGCCTAATAACCTTCTATATGATCGCCCGCACTCCGGACTAAGCACTTTCTTGGCCTTTCAACTTATATTCGTTTGTAATCTGAGTTTGGAGCGTTGATGTCATGTAGTTGATTTCTTCGTTAGATTTATATTCAGCTCATAATTAATCTTTGAATCATGTCTGCAAAAAAGTAAGCCATGCTGATACAGAAAGATTGTTACTTTTAGAATAAGAGAAGTTATAGTGTCATAAGCTCCTCCTGCAGAACAACTGTTACAGAATTATGATGTGTAGAGAAGCACAATCTATTTAATGTGCCAGCGATGACTAAGCTTTTTGACGTTACATATTCTCCTACTCAGACACTTCACGGGAACTTCCGCAGGACAAGCAGAATTTGTAGCGGTTTCGCAGCACTTTCCTAACCACTGAAAAAGTGCACGCTTCATTATGCAGGGTTTCCGCAGTAAATTGACGTCAAGCGATCGTAAACCGGAGCTTCCGCAGCACTTTCCATAAAGCGCTGCGAAAATGCAATAAAATCGCAAGGTTTCCGCAGCATTTTCCACAGCACAGCAATATATTCTTGATTCTTATCTAAAGCCTGGTCAGCCCAGCTTTCTCCACTTAGTCATCGCTTCTTAGCATCAACATAAATCCAGAGGTAAATCAAGATGTCACGAAACCATTACAAATTCCCGGTTTGGCCGGCACAAGTGCGTACCCTCGCTCTAAAGATAATTACCATGACGACCAGGGCTCGTCTTATTACTGCATTAGCGCCATAAATAGCAAGCACTAATCTTGCTGTTTATGCTAAGGAACTCTTAAAGTAGTACTTGAGGTCAAAAAGATTTCCTAGATCTATTTAATGCCCATTTATAGTGCTTGGCTTAGCTTTATATGACCAAAAATGAACTTATTGCTATATTTAGGAAGTTCAAGCTCTTCTCAAACGCCTAATTTACAATTTTTCAAAATTTAGAAATGTTGTTTTTGTCATGAAATTGAGTAAAAGCTGTCAACACTCACGTTTCTCTCTGTTTATCCTCTTTTTTCAAAATCGGCTTGATAGTTAGCGTTGGATTTGGTGATGTGGGTGACATGGATTTCTTTCGCATATCTAGAGATGTCTCCTCAACGTCGATCTAGAAAAAAACAAAATAATCACTTTTTCGCAGCAAAAAACATTTTGTAAATTCCTCACCTGATCGCTAAACGTCACCGATTTACGATTCACAGAGCTTGGACGAGTTTCGATAGCCAGAAGATCTTCAACGGACGAGCTTTCCAGATCCGAAAAGCTAAAAATGCAAGCGACTATTGGCATTCTGAGTTTTTTAAAGATAGTTTATCATTTGCAGCACAGAGTGTAAAAGCGAAGACACTAGGAATAGTTGAGATGTGAGAGGAGTGTAAAGCATTGGGGTTTTTGTTATACGCAGATGGTGCTGATTGTAAGCATAGGGAGGGTATTGGGAATTGGGAACGGGGAACCGTCAGAGTGAAGGTGCCTAGGTTTTTCTTGTGGAGACTGATCGAGAAGCTTAAGCTAAATCACTGCCCAAAAACCGATGCATATAAATCAATTTTAGCCAAGAAATTCGCCTGTAAAGTCTGGCCCAAATCGTACTTTCTACCGTACTACCGTAGTCAGAAACGCTGATTGGTCTGCTAGGAAAATGATGGTCTGGACTGCTGTAGATGGCTTTCTTAGCCACAAATGCTACTTGTGCCTGGATACTTTGATGGATTGAATTCAAGGAAAATTGAGGTGTAAAAAACAACATTGAAAGCATTGTGGGAAGAAGTCCAGGTATTGAGGATTTATATTAGGTCGTTTCAAAAGTAATTTTGCTTTTTTCAAACGGGCGCCATATTTGATGGAACAAAGGTTTCTAAGAGATCTTGGAAGCACTCGATGCAGAATTTCAATCTCTTTCTAATGGTTATGAAATTGTTGCAAAACACTCAATGAGCTTTCAGAAAATAAACAAAATCCGCGACCCATGCTTTTTGAGATGGTGAAGTTTCACGATTTTTCAAAACTTTCATACCAAAGCTCAGAAGGAGTTCAAGTAGCGATTCGATAGAGTAAACCTTGTAGAATACAGTACTACTTTTTCTCTTTTCCATAGCTTGTCATACATTTTTAACAGAATTTTAACTGATGCTACCGATTTCCATACTTGGACAACTAAATTTTCGTAGAACATCAGAGCAAGAGCAACTTGCGCACTATTCGATGCAGCATTTTCTCCTCTTTCTAACAGATGTTTTTTTGTTTCCGATTCGTTTAGTTTCCGGGGAGAAATCATCATAACTCATTTTTTTAGCGAGCCCCAGGCTGTGCCCGAAAAACTCGAAATTTGGTATTTCGAATCCGTAAACTCTCACTTGCTTTGTAAAATTAGTGCTAACTCATAGTACCATCTTGGTAGTCTCAAATTCCGAAAAATTTATGATGTTTGATGCGATTGTGGCTGAGCTGGGGCTGCCAAAATTCGATGGTTCTGTTGAAAAATCTTTTAAAAAATTATGGCGAGCTACGAAAAAAGAAAAAAGTAGAACTGTATTCTATAAGGTTTGCTCTATCGAACCGTTACTTGAGCTTCTTCTGGGGATTAATATGAAATTTTTAAAAAATCGTGAAACTTGACCATTTCAAAAAACATCGGTCGAAGATTTTGGTTATTTTCCGAAAACTCATTGAATGTTTTGCAACAATTTCATAACCATTAGAAAGAGAATGAAATACTGCATCGAATGCTTCCAAGACCTCTTAGAAATCTTTGTTCCATCAAATATGGCGCCCGTTTGAAAAAAGCGAAATTACTTTTGAAACGACCTAATAGAAAGTGCCCAGAAAAATACTACCCGCTTACCCAGATACCTGGGTTTCTACTTTAAAAACTGATAAAGAAGCTTTAAGAGAACCATTGTCCAAATGGTATTTCCTAAAAACTATTTGTGGGCAAAAATCGTAGGTTACCCTCAAGCCCAAACCGTAATTTTTGTATTACCGTATCCGAAAACGTCGACTGGTCTTCTGGGAATTTCTGAGTCGGAAAGGCACAACTGCATGGACAATGCTCCTAGCGGAGAATTTTGGGGAAATACAGTCTAAAGGAGGTTTTAAAAGCAAAAAAACCTACTGATTAAAATCCGGCAGCGAAACATCGGTTTCTGGCGCATCTTCCAGCACCACCGTTGGCGGCTGCGGAGAATTCGATGGCGAAAACGACGTAAAAGTGGCCTGGTCCTGCATTTGCTTCACAACGATTTCTTGCTTTGGATAATCGAGAGACGGTGAAGTAGTGGTCGAGCGATCCTGTACTTCCCTTTTATAGTTGGCGTTCGCATCGGTCCGCCCATCCGCGAGCATGACGTCCATGAGGAAATCCGCCAGATCTTCCGTCGACGTCGATTCGTCCATAAGCTCGGGATGATGATGCACCTCTTGCTGTTGATGCTCTTTCTCAATAGGTTGAGGTGGCAGATGTTTGGAGTCTAAATGAGAAGCGTCATTTGATAGAGCATACGGTCACGAAATTTCGAAGGTAAAAATTGAAAGGGTACCAAAAATTATTCAAGTCTCATAGAAGAAGCTATTACATCTCAAAAATCCGCTTCTTCGCAGAAAAAGTCACGAAAATTTATTTGTCTCCTACTGTAGGGTTACGGTAGTAGTGCTAACGTAAAATAACCTAAGAGATTACTATAGCTGCAGAAGCTAATACCACAACTATCCGAAAACGACTATTTCGTGATGGGATTTTGGAATTATATGAAGCTATTTGAATTTATCAACAAAATATTAGTGGATCAATAAGGATACTGTGGCTACAGTCATTCAGCAAATGAGGAATACGCTATCAAAGGCTCATTTTTTTAGCATAAATTGTATATCTGGTCTCTGGTCTACAAAGAGTTAAGCTAACCAGACTACAAGACTTCAAAAAACTAGATTCAGATGTACATTATCAAATATTTTATAATTTGAATTTTGTACATTAAAAGATTTGCCTTTACTTGTTTTATGGATCTGTGCGTCATATTATTTGTGCATATCAGAGATTTTCTACGGATTGCTATCAAACACTATGATTACTTTTGTGAGAAGAATTTGCCAAAATTCTCAAAATTATAGGTCCCAAAAATCAGACTTAAAATCTCTATTTTCGCGATCACACCGCTAAGCAGCAAGAAAAAGAATTATGGAAGTTATAAGCATGGTAAAATACTTGGAAATCAATGGAAGGGGACAAATAACACTAAAACAGGCTAAAGAATGGCATAAATGCATCATCAGTGTGTGACTTCGAAGCTCTAGGGAACTCTTTTTTTGTCTTGACAAATTCCCGGTGGTGAGAGGACAACTGCTCTCAATGTCAGAATCTAGCGTTGAAGAGAGATACACACGGAAAGCAAGTTGCTTGTGAAAAAATCCCTATGTAGTTAGAGCCTTGAAAATAATTTGCCAAAAATTCATTAAAGTTATCATTTTTATTGCGAAAGCTGGAATTATCAATTTTATTCTGATAGACACTCTGCTTGGAGAATTACTGGAAACACTACATCCTTGAATAGAGCGCCGACAAGCCTCAGACAAAAAGTTTAGCATTTTTTAGTTTCAAAAAAGGGCAAAAAGGGCTTATTTTTCTGAGCTATAGCAAATCCATTTGCTCAACTTCTCCATTTCTCAAAATTCTCGTAACCGTGAAGTATACGGATCACACAGAATTTTTCAGGAGCAATGTGTATGTCATTTATCATATACATATCTTATACGGTACCTACCCAAATAGATTTTTTAGGAAAAATCTACAATAAGCGTAATTAATTTTTCGCAGTTGCGCTGATTTTGATAACCAGCTTTTTTATTACTTTCCTTTTGGTAGAACCAAATACTGAAAAGCTTGCATGGATATCACTTGAATTACTGTTTGACTAAAAGAATTACGTTTTGCGCAATTTTATGAATTTTGTGACGTCCCTTTCGGTTTAACTGAGATATTGAGCAATAACTACTTACTTAGATGCGATAGTTTCTTTATATAGCTCAATTCGATGAAAGTGTTTTTTTTCTTGCATGAAGCGGTCACTTGTTTGTTGATGCAGCTCTCTTTCAGAGATAAACTAGACTAAGCCGAATCTTGCGCAGCATTCAAGTAAAATTTAGCTGCACACGCAGCCTCAGTCAAATCGAAAATGAAAACAGCTTAGGTACTGCATTTTAGCAAAAAAAAAAACGCTAAAATTAGCTGCTCGGTTGTGTGGCTGCAACTTTGCCTTAGTTCTCGGCTTTTTTCTGTAGAATTGCGATTTTTTTCCTCTAAGCTCACAGTTCGTCAAAAAAAAAAAGTCACGAACTCTAACAAGTGCACCAACCCGCGTTGCATCGCCATATCTTGGTTCAGAATGAATGAATTTGAATCCAAAGGCACCTTTGACTCACCTCGGCCAGGCGAATCTTCTAATATATGAAAGTGTCCATCTGGATACGATGATTGCGCGGTAAACGGTCAGATTTCACAAATCTTTTAGATTTTTGGTTACTGTAGGTTGCTCGATGTCCTTGTTCATCGCACACTTGTTAATCGAACGTAGGGCCTCTATATGTCAGAATATCACTTGGATTCACTTTCTTTCACTCTGAGTCAAGATATGGCGATGGGACGCGGATTTCGGTGAGCTCCGGTGGAGTTCGGTGATTTTCTTGACGAATCATAAGCGGCACCGTATCTGCGCACGCTACTGACCAAGATTTTTACATTTTTACGTACGCTAGTACAGTTATTTGTTTCAAATGACGTTTGCAGATCTCTGTTCTTAATGTGTCGTTGGTATGCCAGACAGGATGACCCAAGCACTTTGGGACAAACCATGAGAGCAAGACTACTAAAATTTCTTGCAGACGAAAACACGCGCAATGAAGACGAAAAATGTCGGATTTTCACATTATATCCCCGGTGTTGTGGTGCATGGGTCTTTTGCATTAATTCTTCCAAAACTCTGAAATTCACAGTGATGAAAACCTTTTACATATGAATCTGTCGCTTATAAGTTTGCAGTAATAGATAGCCATGTCTCTAAAAGATAATTCAGCTTCCCTGCTCACGAACAATTTATTTTAGAGTGTTGCTTACATGGCTTTCTTCCCACTTTCGCCTATTATAGTGGAGGGGGGAGATGAGTGGGAGGGGGGGATTTCTTTTTTAAGTCGCATAACTCATCAGTGCCAAACCCTTAATCACCAATAAGAGTTAAAAAAGCAAAGCTGGGCTTTTTCAAGTGAATTTAATCTTCCTATCACTTTCGTTTATAACAAAAATATGATCCGCGTTGACAGCGGATTCAGGCCAAAGATCATATGAACTGAAAATTCGATGAATCGTTTTTTTTTTGAGAAAAAATTAGTTTAGACAATCTTTTTATGTGGTTATTAGGCTTCTTTGTACTAGTTAAACATAAAAGCCCCGGATAATTTATGATCCCGGTCTTTTCGTCACATCTACAAGCCTATTGAGAACACCTAACTCCCTCTCATCCCAGCCAATTCTTTCAAGAAATACTACTATAAAAAAATTTCCTCATTGTTATTCATCTTCTTTTTTCCACATCGATTTTTACCACCCACTCGATCTCTAAATCACGGATGGAAACAACACATTATAGGTTCAAATCTCTATAGATATTATCGTGATGATTACGACAGTTGAGACTTTACAATACCAATACGTTTTGCTTTCCAATTCCTTAATGCATATTATTTCGCCGACAAAACTTGCAAATGGAAAGTGACGCAAGCTTCCATGAAAATCTTCATGAAAACCTTGACAGGAGATCAAAGACCACGGACCACCAGCGATTATGATGATGATTTTCTGTTTATTGTTGATTGTGTTTATTGAACTTCTGAGCTAACTATAGCTTCATGGTTCCTAATATAGAATGACTCTAAAGTATCTTACTGAAGCACATAAAGATAAAGATAGGCTGAGCACATGACAAGGCGAATACGTACTCAACTTATGATTCCGATTGAAAGCTTACAAGTGCATGTAATTCTTGGCCTTTACGAGTGTAGACTGTAATCAGTAATTATTTCGTACTATCAGGTTAGCTAAAAAATGATTTCGATTATGTTTTGAAGATATGAAAGCTTGTGTATAGAAGCAGTAGCAAAAGAAAGTGTAGGCCAAGATGAATTTGAATCTATTGAATCAAATTGAATTCAAAGTTCCGTGCCGCTTGATGAAGCATGAAATATCTCTACACAAGTCAAAAAATAGCTGTTCATCTAGTTTAAATGGAATTGCCGCGAATGATTGTATATAGAAGTAAATATCTGACAAGGAGTCACATTTTGCGAGCTGATTATTGCAAAATCAAAGTGGAAAAGGTAAAGAAATGGTAAGATTCTTATGCGGTTAGGATTGATTTGTTTTTTTGTTCCTGAATCTGATGGAGATATATAGCTAGTAGCTTCAAACGAATGGAGACAGTGCTAGTTTGTAATTACAGTACAGGGTTTCTTGATAAGCAACAGTGCCGATTCAAGCGATTGCCAAACTATTCTTGTTGCTTAATTTTCATAAATTGTTTTCTTCAAGAGTTAGGAGCTTCATATATCACTTAATAGCTGCATTAAGTTGGAAAACCTCAGAAGTTTCGAAAATAGCTACTGATATTTCAAGAAGAATGCTAGTATCAACCAGTGGCGTACCGGGAAAGGAGGCGGAGGAGGCCCTCCCCCAAAAAATGGGTTCGAAATTTTGAAAGTTACTATATGGGTTATTAAAATGTGCAAGTGACTTGTATATACCTGCAATTGATTAAAATAAATTTACTTCCAAAAATTCAATTTACCTTAAAGAAAAAGATTTTTTCGGGAATTAAACGTCCCTTCTTTTGAAATTTCGGGGTTAGCAGCCCGAAAAATTTAGGAAGCATACCAAAAAAATCTTCGGAGTGCGTGACTAATGCCATTACCTATATCAAAAAAAATTCCCCCCTCCCCCTCCCCTGAACACGCCACATATCAACGAATAAGTTCTCCTCTAAAAAATGATACATTTTTCAAACAGCGTCTTCTTACACAAAGGCTTTCTGAAATCCCGTTGTTTATTGTCCAGTAACTTTTTTCTCATTGTCGAATGCAGAATAGGTCATTTTTAGGCGTTTACAAAACTACAAACTGAAGTTATTAAAATGTAAAAATATTCATTTTTTCTGCAAATATTGACCCGCACTAGTGACCAATGATAGATAAACCTTGTTAATAAGATCAAGACCGACCACAGATCATGCTCACATGACGTATGTACCATTACCTAACCATGCGTGGTTAAACTTATGACGTAATCCTCATCCCAGATTTAGAATACTTACTGGTTAATGGGGCTTAGTACGTGCACGAGTACTGCAGCAGCTTTTGCAGTGAATAGCTTACCACTATTAATCAACAACTGCGTCACCCAGTTTAATAAAGACGTAGTTAGCGTGGTCGGTTTTACAGGTTATTTTCGATTTTGAAAAGAAGATTAGGCTAAAAATAGATAATACGTGCTGTCATCTCTTCCACTATTGTAAACGAGCTAAAAATTGCTCAATGAAATGTTTTTTTTAGATTCAAAACATGAAAGCTAAAAAACTACTTCGATAAATACATTTATTGGTTCTTTCTGGCATAAGAGTTCCAGAAATTGAATGGGTATCACTTGGAACATAGAAAAAATGCTCGGAAAATCACTTTTTTGATGATTTTTCTTACGCATTTAATATCCTTCAAAGGAGAAACTTTTACCACAGATCAAATTTGATTGAGTCCTATAAATTTACACAATTGAAAAAGGAATACAGAGAGCTACTTGGAAGCGTATAAATGACTTTTTTGACCTCTACATCGTGATGAGCAGCTGGCCCACTGTGATGCAAAAGATTGCACATTACAGCATGTAAAAGATAGTCAAATTTGATAAATGTTCCCGAATTTTCCTCATCTTAAACAGGGCACGGCGCAGGTAGCTTAGCAAACAAGCTAGATTTTTGCAAAAGAGCATACCGCTGTCTTTCGATCTGCCGCCAGCATGATGCCGGCATGCCGGCAGCATGCTCTTCCAAACAAACAAAGGGCTTGTTTACAGCGAAGTGAGTATGAAATGACACCAAAATTGGTGTATGGCAATGGAGAGTTGGGATATGTGTGAAAAATTATGAAAAATTATGTGAGTCAAAAGCCACTCAACTTTTTTCGGAGTTAGGTGGCTTTCAAGCTACCTGGAAGGACCTGAGGTGGTTTGGGAAAGAAAAAATCACAAATTTTCCTCCCTCACATATTTTTTTCCTTCTTTTTCATAAATTTCATCTACAACCCAAACCCTACAAATTGCTTAATAAACCCTCAAAATTCTTCCTCCCCGCTTGTTTACGGCCCCCTGAAAATTTCGAATGGCGGCGAACGCTGCTTCAGGCGCGTAGTGCTGCTCGCTGGATAGATCATGCCGCCAATCCGGAGAACACGAATATCATCGCGTTTGTTTGGTGCTTCTTTGGCATTTTTTGTTTTGCTTTGTTCCGATCCTTTTCATGTGTATTTTCTTCTAACATTTCATGGCGGATGCCGTTCATAGTGAAGTCAAAGGAGACTTCGTTTTTTGCAATTTCGGGAAGCCATGTCGCGCCGAGGCCTGGCTGAGTTTCATAATGAGGTTGTGAGGATTTATTTTACTTTTGAACTGTTCAAATCTCCGAAACAATCGAAAAACAGATAAGGTTTTGAAAAACTTTCCCATGATAATGTTAATGGAAAGACCATAATGAGCTCTGACTAGCTTATGGCAAAGTTTCCAGCTTTTCGTGCGCTTTTGAATGACAAAGCCTTTTTTTAACAAAAATATTGGGAATCCTCCAATATTTTGAGTTTGAGTACAACTTACTATTTGTAACCACGGTTTATGTGGGCGACAATCAAAAAAAAATTAATAATCAAGCAAATAATAAACTTTGACACTCTAGAACCTCTTGCTTTCTAATGCCGACCCGATGCTTTGGAGTTTCAACAGGATAAAATGAAATTTGACGAATGAGATTGAATTTAACATACCTAAAACTACTACCTTCCCCTGGTCTGAGTCCTCACTGGAATTTCTGTCCAAACGGAAGAATTTCGCATATGAGGGTGGTTCCATTACTACTTCAATATCTTCGGGATTGCAAACTATTTCATCTGTAGATGCTTGTGTATCCATGTCTTGGTCAGATTTATTATCCTGGAACAAATTTTGAAACGAAATTTTAAAATATTCAACATCAACAGTTTTGCCTACCTCTTCTAAGATAGGTGCAATTGTTGCAACAGTTTCTCTAACTTTCACTGACTCATCCATTGTTGGCTTTACTTCCACATCATCGCTATCGCGCTCCAATCGAACATTCTGCTCCGTAGGCACAACCACAACTATAGGTGCTGGGATGTCCCCTATCGGCTCCGAATTGTTAGATTCCCGTTTGGAAAGGGGCAGTTTTGACTGTAGGAACAAGTTTCTTCCCGAATCCGAAAGCGCAGGTGAGCGTTGCGACGCGGGTTCCGGCGACGCGGAAAGTGACGACACCGTCGGTGTCAGCGACACGCGGCGATCTGTCGTGTAGTATAGCACGACTCGTTCGATCGTCGGCGTACGAGCGCGTCGTCGAAGCTCACGAGCATCCTTCTCTTCTTGTTTCTTTTTCTCTTCTTCATTATCAGACTTTGCTTCGGGTTTGTTGTAGCGATACCGCCAAAATCGATCAATCTGGTCAAAATCCACCTAAAAATTAAAAATACCATTCAAATGGTAAATGATTGGATCCTGGATTGAGGCAGACAAATTTGCACCCACCTATATAATCTTCAAAGTTTTTTTCAACTTCTCTACATTTTCGTCATGTTAACGTCAATAAAATTTATAAAAATCTAATTTCTATTTTTTTTGAATGGAGTTTTAATAGCTCAGGAGGTAGGCAAACTGTTTATTTCTCTCTGCAAAGCAAACGCAGACGCGGCGCTCGGACGCATATTGTCATTGGAGCGCGCGGGTGAGACTCGAGGTTGATAACCGCCCACGCGCCGCGCCGCGTCCGCTTTGCTTATGCGGACACTCCCTTCGTTTGGTATTTTACTAAACATATGTTATGGAAACAGATAATTTACCTCTTTTCTCGCATCTTCTACAGCTTGCTGAATATTATCCTTGAATCGACACTGCATTAGGCTAACCTTGTCCATCTCAGAGCTGACCAATGAATTGGCTTCGCTCAACTCAGATGTCGCCAGCGAATCTACACGATCCATGTCGTTTTTCTGGATCTGAACAAATAAAAGTCATTCATTTGCACTTTGCCGTAATCAGATCAAAGAATGATAAGTAAAAAATCGATAAGTAAAACACTTTTATGGTCAAGGTTTGTTTTAAAGAAGGAAGACGAAAAAAAAAGAACAAAGTAGTGCAGCAATTTTATAGATAGGGTCACACTTGATGAAAGACTGCTGTTTAAAATTGGCTACTCTAGCCGATAGCTCTAATCCAGTGTTTAGCATCTAATATTTGAGTTTTTAAAAGCCGAGAAACAAAGGACAGAAAAGTGCATCTGTAATTACACATAAAGTACATCGAAACCATGATGCAGAGTTGGTCGAGTGGGGTGAAACTTTTGTCTACAGTTTTTGCAAAAAAAAAATTCAAAAACATGATTTATGAAGTTGTGAATGGTTATCAAGTAATTTGTACGCGATTGTAAGATTTCTAAATATGAAAGAAATTTTTCAGAAATTTTCCAAGATTCATTTTTTGAACCTATGTTGAAAGAAAGCCACAAATCTGATAACTTTTCAAGCTTTTAGCATATGGATTCTAGGTAAATGAAAGCATTTGGTTGCAGGTAGAATTATCGCTTCGGCAAGAAAAACCTCAAAATCTCTGCTCTTATCGATAACGAAAATCAGCAAATGATTTTAGGGTTCTCTGTAGCCGAAGTAGCTTGGCTTCCAGATTTTCCCATTAACAAAACAAGCGTCGTTTGGGGAGCAAAGAGTGAACAAAATGGAGTAAACTAGAGATAGAGAATAACGCCCCATCAAATCTGTTCCATTCATTATCAGAAGGAAAAAGCTACGAGATGAAATGACAACAATAAATAACTCAAAAGGTCAGCTGATAGAAAAATAAGAGATTTGTTACAAAAATAAAAAAATACGATTAATTTGAGTGATTGCCTGCTAAAGAATGTATGGTTTGCACATGATTACGCAACTCTTCATTTTAAAAAAATTTCAAGAAATGAGAAAATGGAGCTGAAAAAACGTGCCTTAGCCGTTGGTAGAAGCTCTCCATTTATATGGATTTGAACAGACGGGGGCAGCGTTTCCTCATCGACACCCGTCGTCGACGTGGTCGTGTTGCCAGGTGGACTTGCACTTACGCTTTTTTCCGAACACTCGGACACTTTCACCTGAAGAAGAAATTTGTAGTTAGCAACAAATCTCGCACGGCTATGTTTTTCCCCTCTTTTTTTCGGAAAAAAAAATTTTTTTTTAATTTTTACTCAGTGATTAAAAAAGGCTCTTACATGCACTATACTCCGGCAAATACTCCTTGAGCAGTAGATTTTGCAGTTGAAAAAAATTGCAAAAGTCTCACGTATACCTTTCGAGGACCAATCATCCTAGTCCCTTGTGCTTAGAATTCTCCCTCTCTTCTCCAAGATATATGGTCAAAGCTAGGCACGAGGTGGCTTTTGGAAAATGCAAAAAAGAAGTCCCTCTTGACTTTTGCGAATTTTTACGAAGTTCTCTTTGACCCTAAACCCTATACGTTAAGAAAACCACCAGAAAAACGAGACGTCGACTAAAAAATCCATTTTTGTGTCTTTTCGGCCTCAGAAACGATACCCCCTTTGCTTTATGTCCCACAAGCGATATCCAGCCTGCTTACAAGCCGCCTTAACGAGCCCTGAATACGGTCTTTTTATTTACAAACACAAATCGTACTGTTTCTAATTTTCCTCTATAACAATTCGCGCAAAAATTGCAAAAATATCTCATATGTCTTCGTCTAATACACTAAAGCCTTGTCCCCTGAGCAAAGGCTACTAACCTCAGGAACTTCCATCGAATCTTCGGAACCGTCCGCATTTGCAGTCGTTGCTTCATTTTTCTCGGCATCACTTGGATATCCCGGCGATGTTGATTCTACCCACATTTCCGTCCGAGACCTTCGTTCTTCTTCCTCGAATGGGTCCACGAAAGCATTTGCACTGCAAAAGTAATAACCTGAGTTGATTGTTAAACTGTGGCAACAAAAGAATTTTTGTGCATATTTTGTAACATCTTAACGATATAAGAAATTTCAGTACTGCTTCGTAAAAACGATCAGATTTAGCGGCTAATTTTCAAAATCTTTTCACCAGTAAAACTACATATTACGATCTCTCCTTGTAGATTTTATTTCATAGCTCGTGGCTGTCAAAGTGCCTAGTTTTTTGCTGAAATCAAACAGATATACAATTTCACATTTTTTATCTTATCACATTTCCAAATAATGTTCTGGGCGGACCAGGCACAGCGAATGTTTTCTAGTCCATCACCTCGTCATTTCTTCATTTATCATCTCAAATTTTCCTACTTTTTTATAGCTAAAAAATACTCCTTCAAAATGAATCTACCGTAAGAGTTCTCGTTCTGATATCGTCTTGATAAAATCCTTTTTTCTTAATTCGACACCAGACGAAAGTATGATCAAGGAAGTTCTCTGACTGAAAAGTGATTCTTTTCACAACCTTCGATGGTCACCCAAACATCCGGATTCGCCATGGGATCATATAATGTTCCTACGGTAACGTAATTAGTAATAACAAATTTGGTTAGACTTCTACGTATGCTTCCCAAGATGCATCAATGACTTTGAAGAATTTGAGATTACATGTGATTATGTGATCACTGGGACAGCCGTCAATTGATGTCATTGAGACGCGCATAATAATTGGCAAGCAGGATGTTTTTATACATCCTTTAGGTTTCCTCATCTCATCAGATCCTCATCGTAGTTAGAACAGAAATCACAAGCGGAAAGAGAATGCTACTAAATAACGGGATAGCCTTTATTGAGAGAGGCTCAGAAAGTTAGAAATCAACGAAGCGAAGATAAAAGTAGTTTTGTGACTGGAAAAAACACCCAAACAAATTCGCATACGTTTGAAAATTTCCATTAAGAATACAATGTTGTGAAGAGGACCATTTTGCACAGCTACAGTCTAGCATTACAGAAAGGGACGCATCCCGTAAATGCTTCATAATCAGGCCGTACATAAAGAATGCTCATTGCAGAGAATGTCAAAAAATGTATCCACTGTTTGATTTTAAATGAAGCTGTACTTTGCCTCGATGTTCTTTGTAGACATAAAGTACCAAACTGTTGATCTAGCTGCAATATAGATCACACTTAAAACAATTGGCTGTAGCTGTTATTTAATCACCCACGGGAACTTCCTCAAGACAAGAATTTTTTCAGCATTTCCACAAGATTTTGTTTACTAATAGCACTGAATCGGCAGGAATAATGCCGGACTAATTGAAAACCTGAACTTTCACAGCACTTTTCTTGAAGGGCTGCGGGAGTTCGTATTCTAAATGTATATCGGAACTTCCATTGTCTGAGTTTGACCGCATCAAGGCAAGCTAACTCCTGTTACAAAACACGAAGACTTTGTAGAAGAGATTTTCAACACGCTGATGTCAAAATGCCTTCAGACACCTTTCCCAAGTAGTGTGAATGAATTCATGGCCGTTTCGGTAAGCACCTGCTAAGACATACATGGCGCGCGGCATCTATATGAAAGCGCTGTAAGGTATATCTTACTTTTAGAAAGTTGTATTGACTCGTTGATAGTATTTTCTGCTCAGAGGAAACTTTCTTGCAGCAAAGTTCAGATGCCTTCTTGAAATCTACCTAATCCTAATGGGAGCGGAAAATTTATGGAGCCAACTTTTGAGCACTTGGGAAAGGCATGGAAGAGCTGTTATCGATGAAAAAGTAGTAGTTCAAAGACATCCTTTTTTTAGAAAAATCAAAAGGGAGCGCCAATCGTTCCTCAAAACCTGGAAAGCTGCTGGAGCATGCGACACATGTGTTAAGGGAAGCTTAAGTCACATCCATATATATCAAAATAGAAGTTCTTCACAATTATGCGATTTTATTGCTACGAGTCATATACTGCAGTTATTTGGCAACAAGTTTCTTCAAACGATTGGTTATAACATAAGCCTTGCACCTTACAATCCCGTATTCTTCTCCAAGAAACAAATCTGCTTGGAATAATATAATTCAGAACGCGAAAACCTTATTCTTTCTGAACTTTCACGAAACACTAAACATCATTGTCATATAGCGGCAACGGAACCTTTTGAATGCAAACACTCAAACTGCATTTTTCAAGTTTCAATCCCAAAAATGCTGGAAAACCCCGAGATTCCCAAATTTACTTTTTATTTGAGATTATAATTTATGCTTATTAACTGAAATGAGTTTGCACTGTTACGACGTCTCTACAAGAAGTTGTAGTTATGGTATTCATATTCACGAGTTTTGATATTGTATGAAATAAAATCTCTATTGTATAATACAAAATACTGCATAAATCACACGCAATGAAAAAAATACTATGAAGATTGAAATGCTGCTCCGAGCATTTTTAGATGATTTTTATGGAATTTTTTGGTGCACCTATGTTCCAACCTAATAGTTCATAGGAATTTCTTTGCTTTCCGGTAGCAAAATAATTGATATATACGTTTCAAATGCATTTCTTGTTTTCTTCAAGTATTCATGTTATTCTTGCGGTAGAATATATGTAGAATAAAATATTGCGATATTTGTTATCGAATGACTAAAGGTCATTGAGAAATTTGCAAACCGAAAATATATACGATGACCAAAGAATGCACTCACGGCAACTTCTGCACGAATTGCTCCAAATCCGTCACATAACTCACGGAACCGAACCAACCGTTTGGAGCTGAGTCGGGCAGTTGAACAAGATCCAGATGTAGCCTATAACGAAGAGCATTTACGAGATTCTAGCATTAAGTTGTAATGTACTTTCCACATGTATACAAAACCTCAATAGCATACAATCTTTTTTCTTTTGATGAGGCTTATAGGAAAAATGGCAGCTAAACGAATAGGAAATTACTAGTAGAAACTAATGTGATTTGCAGAATCGTAGCTAGTAATGGATTTTTTATTTCGATTGGCTCATGAAACTATATAACTAAAGTAATCATTTGAGTTTCATAGGCCATTTTCATTTTCTTTTTTCTTGCAAATGTATGTACAACGGTTATTGGAATCATCAATTTTTTAGACTAGCTTCTTTGAAAAAACTTCTTGATTGATGTAATTTTTATGATAATGTCAAGCATATAAACTTCACATTAACAGTCTCAATATCTGCTTTACAGATCCAATCTGCTAGGTTTGCAATTTTAGGAAACACTACGGATTTTACAGCAATGTTTATTTTCGTTACAACACTTGAAAATTGCTCCATAAGCCACATACCCAAGAATTATGTAATCGAAAGGATGAAAAAATCGTCAGTTACTTTTTTTTATCACCCTCGAATCACCCTGAAAAATTGATTCAAAAAAATCTGTTATTCAGATTTTTTTCCACAAATTCTTTTCCAAATTGCTTTCACCAAGTAGGCACCAAGCAAATTGTTGCCTCTTTTTAGAAAATGTTTCGCACTAGCGGAGGGAGTGAGCTTGAGAGAGGGAGCTTTGCAGAAATCGCAAGAAAAAAAAATGGAAATTGTTACAAAACATAGGTACAGCACTTTTGTTGAGTCTCGGTCTACTCAAAGTTAAGATATCTAGAATTTGACTCCAATTTTTCGCTGTCAATCCCAAGAATAGATTCTAAAAAGAAATATACGTATGTGTGCATGTAGCTGTACATTAATTACCATATACTTTATTAGATGGCTTACCCGGCTCCGCCCGGCCCTGTCATTATTTTATTCGTAATCAGCATGCTCGATTACCCCCCTGTGCCAACTCCCAGCCCCGCAGCTCAAATTTTGCAAAAAATCGATAAAATCGATATCGATCGATGACGAGAAGTAGCCTGCGATACTCGCCACGCTTCGAAGTGTATATGTGCAAAGTTTGGCCCGGATGGGTTCAGAAATGGAATTTTCTATTCGGAACATACGTACATACATACAGTCGCTTCATTTCATATGATCATGTGTGTCATTGCACACAGTTCACCTTTGGCGTCCCCATCCTGGATTCGTTCAAGAAATAAGCCTTAAGGTAAGTGTTTCCAAGGTGTTTTTAGCATTTTCTTTCCTTTTTAGTTACTAGTCACCTCAAATTGATGTAACCGATAACAATCGGCAAGTCTCTTGCGTTTTTGCGATTGCAAATCCAGAATGAGGACGCCAAAGTGGACTGTGTGTGCAATGGCACACATGATCATATGAATTGAAGCGACTGTACATACAGACATTCAGCTTTATATATAAGATAGTTAATTGAAATACAAAATCCAAGGGAAAGTTTCAAAACCAAAAAAATCAATATTGCGAATTGATATAATACATGCATGGAGCCAACAATTGCTATAAACCAGCATAGCAACAATTGAACAGCCAAACATTGACCTGACACAACTACTCATCAGTTGACTTACCGGTCAATAATCGCCGGTCGAATTTTGAGGTCCAATTTTGATAGGTCTTCAGGATCTGATGGTGTAATATCTGAGCCTAGGCGACCGTTGTTGCAATTCACTAATGTGGCAAAGTTCGTAGGGCTGGAAAAAAACAATCAGTTTCTATTTTTATTTTCAAAGTAGAACCCAAAATCAAGCATACCTCGGTGGTGATTCCGTGGCCTGTGCCAGCTCTGGTGATGAGCCTTCTTCATCGTTAGCTCCAGAAGTGGACGTGGACATGGAACGATCGGCCATAAGAGGCCGAATGGCGTCGGACGCCATGGATTGGAGGGAAGAAGACGATGATGATAGCTAAAAGTTCGAAAATACAGGCAACTTCCAGATTGTCAATACTTCTTTATTCAGAATGTTGAGATCAAGTACGAATTATCTTTCTTAGAAAGGGAAATGTACACAGTTTAGAAAAAAAAGAAAGAGAGTTTGTGAAAGTTACGTTCAAAAAACAAAGCAGAAAAGTTTATAAACAAAATGCGATTGTAAAGATTTTTATTTTGACAGAAAGAACAGTAGATTTTATTAAAGGAGTTCAAGTATTCCAAGGACAGTGAGCAAGAAAGTTTTTTCAGAGCTTCATGATCATAGGATGACGTATGTCACAAACAATTTTTATAATTTTGTTTATGCAGGGTAAAATAATTATATGATTCAATCTGGTAACTTATACAAGGCACTTATTCATCTTAAATACTTATACAACCCCCTCAATATAGAATGTTCTTGAATGTTTACAAAATCTGCGGAGATTAGAGGACAGTTTTTTCTAGATTTTGGAAACAAGGAACTCTACCTTCTCCAGATCATAGTTCTAGAGTTTCACCAGAAATCAATGTTTACGGAAAAGCATTTTGGATACATGTAGTCGACTAAACAGAAGCAACTACTGAGGCATAGAACTCAAGTAAACCATATTGAAGCTGGAGCCCCTGAGTAAAGAGCATCTCAAAATGAAGCGAACACTTATGAACTCCGCAAAGGGGTTTCTTTGAAAGTTCTTGACCTTTCTTAAAAGCCGAGAACCGTTGTTTTCTTTCCAGAAGAAGAATGTCGGACTAATGGAAAGTATTGGCAGAATAAAATTAGAAATAAGAAACGTAGAACAAAAAATGGAAGCAGTCAGGTGAGGTGATGCGAAATAGCAGGGAGAAATGCTTTGATTATGTAGAAAATTGCAAGAGCTTTGTATAAATGTTCTGCAAATCGTCCATATAAAGTATTAGAATTATGAAATAGTCTTTTTGAAGAGATTTTTATTGTATTCCACAATTCTAACTAGTCCAAGATTTAACTTTTTCGCTTAGAGAAAAAGAATCATTAAAGACTTTATCAGTTATATATAAATTTTTACAAATATCTTCTAATTTGAAAATAAGAAGACAAAAACTTTTTTATGATCAAGTGTGTAAATAGTTGAAGTTCCTAAGCAATCGTGGTAACTAAAGTTTGGAGGGTATTTTTGGAGTAAAAAAAATTAAACGCACGTTTTTTTTCAAATGCATTCAGAATTGTTACATTACCATGATGAGGTACATTGCGGCAAAAAATTTTTTGAAAGAATATGAAAATAGTGTAAATTAATGCACAAAATAAATTATCTAAAATAATAATTTATATGAAATAATGTAAAAATAGACAAGAAAGCTTTTGTAGTAAACAGAATAGTGCATCTACAAAATAACGAGATTAAATGATTTTTTTGCAAAAAATCTTCAAACTTACCAGAATTGTATGCATTAAACTACAATTCTTTTGACGCATTTCGCACACACTGGCGACAAGTGAGTGGCAACAATTGCATAGGTTTTATGAAAATATGATAAAAAAGACAATTTACTGTCCAGCCAGCGACACTTCATCGTCCTTCTACCGCCACCGACGACAGCTCTGCACGTGAAATTGACAGCTGTCGCATGTGAAAAGAGTGAATAAAGCTGGAATATCTACTGAAAAAAGCTTTGATGTATTGATCCAAGCCTGCTTTGTACGTTTATAATAATTATTATCAATGTTTTCTTTGTTTGTTTTCTTTTTTAACGAAAACAAAATTTCGTAAATCATTCAGATTCTTCTCCTCTGTCTAGCTGCGAATTTTTGAGCTCATAGTCTTACCAAAGTTTCAGGTAGCTACCAAAGTTCAAAATCTAATATTTTCACATTTTTAGTTCCTTGTTGTTTACAAAGGACTTGATATTCTTCTGGACTTTTGATGAAAAGGCTGAGCAAATAGAGAAACTTTAAGCTCAATATTTGCTTTGCAATCTACTCTTTTCGGATTCTACAAAAATTCTTGAAATCTAAAAATTCGGTGTAAAAGCTTTGATACATGCCCGAGTGAAAAACTAACTTTCTCAAGAATCTAGAAGGTTTGAGCTTGGCTGTTTATAGCACTAATTATGCAGATTTCGGCTTCCAGCTTTTGACAGATAGGTTCTGAAGATTGTTGCTACCCAGCAATGTTTGCACCCAAAAAGCAGGTTTTTTAGATATGATTATCTAAGGCGAGAAATTCTGAACCAATGGTATTCGTAGCAAAAATTTTATCTGACAACTACCTGCACTTTTTTGAAGATAAAAAGCAAAATGTACATTCAAGAGGTTGCGATAGATGCAATGGAGATTATGCTTTCAAAAAAGGATAAATGTAATTATATACGATTCACGAAGGCTATCGAAGTTATAAAAAGTGCAACATATATGGTGTAGTATATTTAGGAGCAAATATTTTCCGCATATTCGTATTCGAATGATTTATTCGAACTAGAAAGGTCGAGTATTCAGGAAAGTGCATTTATTTAATTATTCGAATAGTCGAATGAATGAAAAAGACCTTTATTCGAATATTTGCTTATTAAATGAATCAAAAAACAACTTGTTCGAAATTTTATTTGAGTGTCATATTATGGAGATACCGTAACTAAAAAGTATGACGATTTCATGAAGCCAGAGAGCGAAACCTGTAAAATGCTGTAATCCCTTTAAGTTCTTATTTTGTTATACCCTGAGACAGTTAAATGCAAACGTCTGTAGGAAATAACAACTCTTTGCCAGTCCACAAATCAAATGAGCCTTTGATATACAGAGAAAATTTCCGATAAGAAAGAATGTGTATCCAAGCAACCCAAATCAAATTTGCTGGACATTTTTATGCCGCGACAACTGACATAAGTTGGCGGGAATTCTGTTCGAATCTCTAAGTTTCATATCTGTATACCGTGATATTTCAATGTACAGACCAATCATTTTAGGATCATGTGTGTGATTGCACGCACTGTCCACTTTTGGTGTCCTCGTCCTAAATGGGGGAGACACCCCTTTAGGTAAATGTTTTTCTTGTTTTCTTCATGTTTTCTTACCTCTCTGTGCACCAGTTTCCATAAAGTGATGTAACCGATGATAACGATCAGTCTCTTGCGTTCTTGCGATTGCAAATCAAAATCCATGATCCAAAATGGAAACGCCAAAGATCGACTTTGTGTGTAATGCACACATGATCATAAGAAATGATTCGGCTATACGTAATGACAATGCGTTACGCCAAATGTTCAGTGGTGTAGTAATGGTCTATGAGACTGCAAAGATTGTCTCATTGAGTTTTTACTAAGATCTTGAAAAGAATTCTAAAAAGATTAAGAGGAGTGCAATGCGTTGAAGTATGTTAGAACGTTAGCGAAGATAGGAAGAAGTCCTTCAAAAGAATAAGAAGCTTTCTTGAAAAAAAATCAAGGATGGAGTGAATTCTTAGCCCTTCAATTCTGGCAAAGCGAGAAAAAAATGGGCGACTAGTCTCAGGGCTCGGCACATGTGGCTTATAAGCAAGCTGAATATCGTTTTTGGGACAAAATGGAAAAGGGTTATCGTTTTAGAGACCGAAAAGACACAAAAAGTGTGAAGGTTTTTTTCTAGTCTACGTTTCGTTTCTTTGAAGGGTTTCTTCACGTTTCGGCTTTAGAGTCAAATGGAACTTCGTAAAATTCGCGAAAGTCGAGGGGAGCTCCGTTTTTTGCAATGTCCAAAAGCCACCTCGGAGCTTTGGTACCGTTTGGCTCTTAGCTAGAGCCTTACTGCTGGTCAAGAAAAAGGAAAAAACAGAGAAGAAATTTCAAGTCACTAAAATTCGAGGACGACGATCTTCATAGGTTAAGTGCTACACTAAGGCTGCGGCAATGGAAAGTGGTTGTTTTATTTTTCATTCTAATTTTCCGCTCGAAATCACCCGTTCATACCAGCACTTTGGCAATGATGTTGATTTTGGCTTTCTGCCAAGTATGCATCAATATTCTAATCGCCTAGCTATGGTCTTTCAAGTAATTTAGTCCAATGGATATGAGTTGCACTAGTTTAGAATTTATAAATCTGAAGGAATCAAGAATTGTTGAGAAACATAGAGTACGCTGTCGTACATGTAGTGGATTCAAGAAGTACAGAAAGGCCGTAGACAATGAGGGAACTATTTACGTTTTGATCTACGATGAGAATTGAGACTATTTTTGTAAAAAAACATTATTTATATGCCCTCTACTTCGCTAAAATTTCGGAATGCTAAACGACGATATGATGCAAAAATACTATATGACTCTGAAATAAACTCGAAAGTTTTTTGTCCAGAGGAAACGGAGAGAATCTTTACAAAGCTGATACAAACTCTACTAGAATCTGATACATACTTTGAAGATTCACATAAATTGTCACAATGATTGCATTTGAGCCCCTCTACTCGAAGGTCGCTTTAAAAAAAATTTTCAAAAATTTTTCAGAACGAGGGCCGAAGTTTTAGCTGCCTTTCGTGGCCAACTAGTCCTCTTCCAGTGTTTTGCATGTCGTTCCAGGACCAATAGTCCGCGGAGGCGGCCCAAACTGCCGACTTTCGTTCCCCTACCCAAATTTTTCTTCTCCTGTCTCAATTTGTACTCCTCAAAAGACAAAGATAAAACCAGGATGAAAAGATATTGCAGATGCATGAATTTGCTTGAAGATATGTCGGACTAAAATTTCTTACGATGCTATTTTTCTCTGAAAGAATTGTAACTGCAGAATGCGTACATTTGGAAAAGAACCTCAGACAGTAAAATTGGGAACATAGCGGAAATTTGTATGGAACGTAACGCAACAAAATTCGCAAATCATGCACTTCCATATGACACTCGGCATAAAAACCCGCATATTTCGTCCTACACATGATAATGATCAGATAATCCATTTATTCTACGAAAGGACTCATGTGGCCATAACCTAGTGGAAAAACCGATCATTATCAGAGCCACTAAGCAATAACGGGCAGACAATGTGGAGGATAA